TAACCATTGAGAAACATGGTCAGACTGAGGTGATCCGTGGTTCTGTTCTACTACCGTGAATCCTCATTTATTTACGGCATTTTTGATGTTATCCAACGATGCTCAACTAAAAGGCATGGTTTGTTTCCCGAAAAGCTCACCGAAAAAGCGAATGCAACATGTTGAGAGCTTGAAAAAATGTCTTTGGATCACACAAAGCCATTCTTCGCTCATAACGCCACTTGGCGTCACGACTAAGCATTGAGATTCACCTTTCATGCTATGGCGATTAGCTCCTTTCTTGGTCAGCGTCTGCCAATTCCCCTATAGTATCTGTTCATCGATACGAGTGAATTGTAGACTGGTCCAGCCTACGTGACTCCATTGTCGCAGATGTGTTAATTCCAATACAATAACTGGAAACTGGTTGCCAGTGAGAGGCTAAAATGGTAGAGGCTAATTCGATCAGATCTCCGGATATGGAGACCAGTGGGGCAGGATCTCTCCGCCACTTCAGATCGTCCGTCCGCTCCGGGCTCGGTCGTGTATTTAGCATGCCCTTAACTTTTCAGATTCCTTCCTCTATTTAAAATTCCGATCCAACCGAAAAAATAAGAATAAGTTGGAATATCCAAACTCCAAATATGCCTTCTCGTCGAAGACTGTCACTTGTCGATGGACCGCACACCTTCCGAAGCAGACTAAAACGTGCATTATCTCTGTCATGTTCCGAATCGAGCAACGAAGCCAGGAGCCAAAGACCAAAAATGAATCATTCCGCCGGGCATGCGTTGTATTCCGAAAATAATGGAGCTATCGGACGCAGAAAAGTTGGAATTGAGGCCGACAATCGGGAGAGTTACCATTGGCGACCGTGGGAGATGAAATCTGAGAACGAGATGAGTCGCCCCAAGACTGCATCAGAGGGCGAGCCCGAAGAGTCCACACAACATAGCATTATTGCACTGAAATGTTTATCAGAGTGAGTACGGAAACTGAAATAGTTGTTCTTTTACTAATATGTTGATCAAGTCTGGATAGCCGAATGAAGTCAGTAGTACATTATACGATAAAGAGGGTGGAAACAATGCTGATTTTTACTCTACAGATCCTTAGCAGATTCTGTTAACCGACAGGTTGCTTGGAATGAGACGATCCGGCATGATCTGGAAGGTGCCCTGAGCCGGCTGGCCACCATGGAGACTCGAATGAAAGATACGATGGTCCAGAAAAAGTCTGCAGTGTCGAGAATAGATTAGCCAATACTAAGATAATACCTTTTGAGCAACCATCAAGTCCCAAGTCTTCAGAATGTGTATAATGCTTAAGGCGCTTTGATTTCGTGATACTCATCTTCAGTGGCCGACCATGCCATCAAAGAGGAAGACGTCATGTTCGGCTGGCTACCAGGGGGAAGACTTCTTCATTCCCGAAGTCTATTACTGCTTGCTAGAGTCTAGATATGTTCGCAATCGACATAGTGTAATTGCCCCGATCTCGGACGTGATATCATTCCTTATCCCTCCGACTATTGGACCGTCCCCTGTAGCATCTTGATAGGTTATGGGCTTTGGTTAAATGAAAATCCTATAGGTCTCACCGTGGAATGTTCTAGAATCGAAAACACGCACAAGCCCATTCAATTGTATCCTTGACAATGCGACACGTTCTAGAACAATATGTATTTTCGGAATGGAATACGAAATTCGGAGAGAAAAAGATCTTGGTTCCACGATTAGATCGATCCAATAAGACTGAAGTGGGAACTTAAATCGCGGTCTACTAGCTTTGTGTGGTTTAATGGAATGATTCATAGTGTCATGCAAAAAGAATTTAAGACAGGGAAGCTGAGAGACGGACGGAGAGGGGTGTCCCGGGAAACGAAAGGTCACGCCCGAACCGTATGAAGCTACAGAGCCATGGAATTGAGGTAGGACAAAAGTACCACTTAGAGTGCCTTCCACTCGGCGCTATTCGGTAGTGGAAAAAGACGCAGTTCGACTTTTTCGGCAGAATGGACCTGATATTATCGCTCATACTGTGGTAGTGATGAGGCCGCAGCAGATGGTTGAAGAATCTCACTTCTGAAAAGACACGGGGAGACTTTTTTGCATAGATACGATATCCTACCCCGGAAGATCGTCGGTCTCGTCGATCTTAGGCAAATGGCCCATACTCATTGGTCGAGGTTAGGGCTTGTGGGTCAAACAGCGGCGGGTTGCTTGATCCGGAAAAGCCGGGAAGCGCGCTAGGGTCGGTGGGTTCCGAAGGACCAGCGGTGGTGGCCCAATTGCCATGGAACACCTCGGTGCTAGGCAAGAAGGATGCCAATCGTTTGTTCTGAAGACTATCGATCAAATTCCCGAAACGAGACGCAGCGGAGATCAGTTCTCCGTGTGTCTGGTGCAAGACTGGCTGAATATCGTCCCATGCCACCTGGTCCTGCAACGTGGTGTTTGTAGACTCCAGCTCCTGCCGCAGCTGCGAAGTCTCCTTCTCAAGCCGCTCAAATTCAGCGACTGCAGAGTCCTTTTCGGCAATGGCTTTGTGTACATTGGACATCTCTCGAGCCTTCTCAGTGTGAAGCTCTTGAATGAGCCGGGAAGTAGCTATTCTGCTATCTTCTCTCTCGGCGAGAATTCTTTCAACCTGCTCCTCATAATCGTCTAGAACTTTAAAACACTCCCGATGGGAAGACTTCCGACGTCGCCTCACAGAGCATTTCATGGAATGTTTCTAACATTGTGTTAGTCTAAGGCCAATCATGGGTGCAAAACAGCATGTGATGATAGGGATTGCCATGGTATATGCCAGGAACGAGAACTGAAATGACAGAGTTTAGCTTACGTCGGACATCTTGCTTGTTGCTGGGCTTAACGAGCCAGAGTCAGTGTCAGATCCCGAGACTTTCGACCGGATCGAGCGATTCGACGAGTTTCCGGATCTGCAGGCGCGCGATTTCGGCCGACTCGCATGTTGCTCAGTGCGACTTCGGGAAAGTCTGGGAACATTTGCCATTGCGAGTATATCTTTGTTCGTTGGAAAGTGATTGAGAATAGAAAGGAGGAGAATCTTAGATTTTGTGGGATGTCATGTTATAAAGGTCTGGGTGGAGCCTAGGAAAGCCGGCGCAAAATAGTGCGAAACGCAGAATATTGCCCTTTGAGATGATTTTGATGGCACTCAAAACAGTATCATGAGTATTTAATACGCACCAGGATCTGCGGGCTGTACATAAGTGGAGACGTAGGAAAGGGAAATAATTGCCTTAGCTGTGGGGTTTTGACATGATCGCCAGACCCACACATCTTAGATCTGTGATTGACTACCCAGTTCCCACTCAATTATCTGTCTTTATTGTTCTCAACTAAGGAACCGCATTCAGAGATTGAAAATTTATCTCTAACATCCCACTCGCAACCTTTGCCAATGAAGAGTCTGTTTCGAGACGGTTTTTAAACTAGATCATGAAGTTTCAAAACAGCGTGACTGAATATCTCTAGTTACCATGGAAACGTCGCCGACATATTGACCGGCCGAAGAAGCTGAAATGAGGGCACAAAGAGGGCTGATTTCCTCAGCAACGATACAATAGGTTCTCCGCCCATGGGGATCTAGTCCATAGAGGCCCAGAACCCTACAATGGCTTTGCCACTGAGCACAGTGGAACGACAGGGGCGGTCACCCATTGATTTTTGAAACACCGCGGTGTGAATTCTAGGGTTAGCTTGTTTGACACAACCAATAAGCCCTTGTCGGTACTTTAAGCTGGATGAAGCAGGATCCATAGTGGCCTTGGTACAATCCATTCACAGAGGCTGATGCACAGGGTAACATCCAGATGAATACAACGTGAAATATTGGTAATGTGTGAAAATGGGCTCTGAAGTCTAAATGATCAGTCTTGACAAATACTAACATTTAACAGTGAGTAGATCTGTTTGACAAGATTCAAGGAGTACCAAGTTCTCGGTGAAAGTGAATATACACCGATCGAAATTCCAGGGTAGGCTATGCTGTAGGCATGCTACGTAAAATTTTTCCGTATATATATAGTATTCATCACTAGCCGCCCTGGTTGACTCTGTTCTACTGCCAGTGCCTAACTAGAGGGCTGATTCAGTGACTGGATGGAAATCGACACGCAACTGAGTCAACGCCCTAGACCACTGTTTGGCTCTCTTTACGTAATAAGGTAAATATAGTATCGTCAGACCTATGGGCCATATTTGCAAAAGTACCTCGACACTCGCTGTTTTCAGCGTATAGCTTTGAGGAGCCTGACGAAAGCCAAGATTTGATATCCGGGCTCTGTCTTCGGCTGGAACCATGGTTCCCGGACCCTTGCTCATCCCAGGCTTTATTCTGCAGTATTTTGACCGCGTAGATTTTAGCACAGGGGGTTGTTGAAAGAGTGCAGAGGAATTGATTTTTCTCAGGAAAGTATGATGGATGCTGGGGCTTGAGAAATACTGTATTCATATCCAAAAACATTCGCTAATAGAAATCAACTCTCAAGGACTAATAGAAAAAGCCCCTCGCTTGTGGATGATCAATAGACATATGAAATGTGTATATCAAACCTACGGAGATTATTTTAGGCCATAGATGTCAGATAACAATAGAAGATCTGCGCTTGCTCTCATTCTGTCTCCGCAATGTTTACTTTAGCCAATTGACTTAATATGAAAGATGGTTCAGGTGGGTATCGGAAACTTTCTTTCTTGGCTCCTGAATACCTATCATAGGGTAGAAATCGCGAATTTACAGTATTTGCTCACTCACATATTATAAAAATGTCGGCCGACCCATTTTCTCCCAGGAAACCAACCCATTGTTCGGGACTAGTAGAGTCCATATCGTTCTAGAGCTGTCTTGATGCTGGAACTTCCGACACTATGATATCACGATATAACTACCCACTCCTATCTTGGCGTTTGGCATATCTTTTTAAAAGCCGGCGTCCTGCCACGCCTCATCATGAACATCTTCTTCCCATAGAGTCATAACCTTATTACACCATGGACACAACCGTTGCTAGCCTACCTCCCGCAGTGGGAGATCTGCTCATGAAGAACATCGGCATAATACAGATAGTGTCGATGTATTCTATTGGTGCTTACAGTGCGCTGGAAACCGGCTTTTTCACTTTCTTTTTCTTCAAAAAATATTGTGGCTTGTTATTTTGGAGTATGCAAGCCGCTTCCTGGGGAATCATTGTACATGCCCTTCCAGCCATGACCCGATTCATTTCTCAATCATCCAATCTGCCGACATCAATTCCATTCATACTTGGCTGGTATGCCATGGTGACCGGCCAAGCTGTTGTGTTGTATTCACGGGTACATCTGCTCGCCCCCATCGAATGCAAAACACGATGGATGTTGTGGATGATTGTCGTGAACGCTTTCATTCTTCATATCCCAATGACAGTGTTGTTCTTCGGCCTCAACAGCGGAGTGGCGGGGTTTGCTCGTCCTGCTGCAATATTTGATCGAATCCAGTTGATTGGTTTCTGCATTCAAGATCTCGTCATCTGCAGTATCTACATCTATCACACAGTTTTGTTGTTGAAAGACAGTCGTAATTTGCACCGAACTGGGAGCCGCAAAGTGCTCGTCAATTTACTCTGTGTCAACATCCTGGTTGTGCTCATGAATATTTTGCTCCTCGTCACGGAATTCAAACTCCACTACATCCAAGTCAGTTTCAAGACGGTGGCTTACAGTATCAAGCTGAAGCTGGAGTTCTCTGTGTTGAATGAAGTCCGCTCCTTTTTTTTCCAATTCGATCTACCTTGGCGCTTCAGAGGTCGACAAGAAGCCTCACCAAGATGATACAAGTTCATCCACCGTGAGATTGAACCGTTCAAATGCCGGGTCGGGTGAGGTGCGACAAATGTCTCGAAGATCGAGCGGGGCTCAGGCACAGCTAGAGTATGAAGGGTCTCTGCATGAAACACGGAGTGATGACCACCAGTCAGTGAATGTCATTTCACCCCGGCCAAGTCCCTCAGAGGACAACTCAGAACAAACGCTCCGTGACCGGCCGGGATTTTCGAGCGTGCTCGAGCTATCGTTGTCGCAAATTTCGGCAAAGTCTGATGTATGAGTTTTTCGAGCCGCCAGTCCAAATCTGCGGTTAAATCAAAATTGAGAGCAAGGGGAAAGGGTCGGAATAAAGAGAGCTTCAGTTGTTAAAGAAGATAGATTTAAGACTGCAGAAATAGCAGCGAATTTTCCACTTTCATCATATTGAGATAGGTTTAGTAGCATTCTCAAATTCCAGCGGCTACAACCGCCAACCTAGGTCTTCAGTCAAGAAAGCGACGCAAGCGTCTCATCTTAAGGCCTTTATGAGCGTGGTATGGTAGTAACGGCTCACCTATTACGGCGGTGTAGATCGTGGCATCAGATAGAGCCCGTTCGTGCTCCCTTGTAGGGAGGCAGTGTCCATCTTGTGCGGTAGTGGTTTCGACGTATATGTAGATGAAAAATGAGAGGGGCAGAAAGTGGGGAGTGACGAGCTTACTCACAGAGGCAAGTAGCTGACTCTTGTGAAGCATAGAAGACGCCCTTAGCAATTGCCAATGTCGTTCTAGACATCACGTGAGTACGGGCATCGTGAGGCAACCCAAAGCCGCCCCCCTTATACAGCATTTTGCCAACACGATTGATGAACATTCCAGGTTGCATTTATGCTGAAGTTGTTGAAAGAAATAACCTGAGAGTCATTCGTGAACAAAAACTGCTAACAAGGTATGGAAAGCTGGAAAGAGCCGCCATTAGAAATAACACATCCGGAAATCTACGGCCAACCCTGGCCAGGCAAGAACTGACTCATATATATTAAAATCATTATAATTCAAGATTTCTGAGGTTAGATGCCATTATGACATGAAGCAGGGAGGAAGCGCTATATGAGAAAATCTCCACCTCATGTTTCAGCTGTTTGGCACCTCATTAGCCTAATGATACTGCCAACGGAGTATAAGTACGTTTGGAAATCCTTGGGGTTTACTTGACTCATTGCGCATCCATTATTTCCATTATTCCACCAAAATGGCTCCTTACACTCGCCAGTCTCGCCGTACTGGAGGCAGAATCAAGTCAGACACAGCTCTTTCAAGACGTGCTCATTTGATGTCTCCGCGGACATTCAATTCAAAGGAGAAATCACCTTTCACTGCCAACAAAAGTGATGGAAGTGTCGTCGGCTTCAAATTCGTCGAGCAGCCAAAGACAATTCTACGAATCAGGCTCCGGAAGAGTGCGCATGAACCAAGCGTGTCGCTAGCGACCAACTCAGTCAACCCCAACAAATCAACCTGCCCGGGTAAAAAAATTAAAAGCAAGAGAGGCTCCCTAGAGAACCGCACCGATCGGCTCATTTGGTTGCAACGACTTCGCTCTACGCCCCGCCGAAAAGCTGAACTTGTGGAATCTCATAATTAGTGCCGGAAATGGAAGGTGGAATCAGAGGACAGGATTGGTTATCGCAGTTTTTTTATCAGATGCTATATTAATTGTGGGTCAGAATGAGAAAAAAAATAAAGCCACTGAAGTGTGATCATACAATACAGTAGAAGCCTCGCGCATGGCTCGATGGCTTCTTTGTCAGTACAGAATCTGCAGGATTATAAACCCACAGGCAAATAATTCAATGATTCAAAATTTGGCTATTGCATCTAGCACATGGGTTTACTTGAATTTTCTTATCGCATAACCGCAATGTAGAAGTACGGATGCAATCAGTCCAAACCTTTGAGGATTCTCTTAAATCATGTCTCACTCCATTAATTTCCAAAGTATCGCCTTTCAGTCTAATTGGGTTGGAGCACGTGTAGTAAAGAAATGCAAGGAGATCGCGCACGCAGAACTCAGTACCAGCTGGATCTGCAATCTATCAGTTTAGTTTCAAAAGGCTCATTTTCGAAGTGATTACCTCAAGGGCTATGCTCCATAGCTCTGACACTGTGCCTAGAATAGCAACAGCAAGCAGTAGAACAGATAAACAGGAAAAACAAGCAATAATCCCGCGCAGAAGTGTTTTTGTTTGCGTTGCAAGCCTTCCTAGCCACAAATACCAAGCTGTGATGCCCAAGTAGTCAAGGAAAATTGAGAAAAGGATCAAATAGTGAGTATTGTCTAGAAGAAATGCTCCGAAAAATGTACTCATTATCTTCAGAGTTGTAGAGATGAAGAAATAGACAAGAAATAACCGTTCTGCAACTTGCGGTACAAGTGGGTTATTCTGCTGCTGACAGTTGACACGGAGGAACTTGGCGGAGATTAGCTCAATAGTAAGCTCTGTCCTGAGAGTTCAGACCTACTTCATGTGACGACGGGAGCGCCGAAGCAACCCCGAGAAATATTTGACGCCCTAGTGGAAGCCTATGGCTCCAGAAAAGACATACTAAAGTGGCCGATAAAGTCACATTTGAGAAACCTAAAGCCAAGTGAGTCTTTTGATTGGCAAAACTGAAGTTGAAATTCCACAGAAATGATATCCTTAAAATCGATAGGAACAAGAGCAGAATAATGAGGAGTGACTGAAAAAGATATTCGGAAATCATGCTTGAGACAAAATTGTTACCAGTACAAAAGGAAAATGATAATTTATATATGAGGATAGTGCCTGGCAACTTCCTAGGAAAGCTTTCCAGAGTCCCTGGGAAAGATTGAATGCCTTGAATGACGAATTAGTTTTTTGATGCCTTCCGTGCGCCGGTCAAAAACTAGGTTCCGTAATCAGCCTTTAACTCGTGTTACGTATACTCGTTTGCATTCCTAGGATAACGAGTGTGATTTACGCAGATGGATACCATGTCAAAGAGTGCAAGCCTACCTATCCCCGCGGCAGAATGAGAAGTAGACGCAGAAATATAGTGCCAGCTCTGTCTTGAAGAGTCTTCAAAAGAGGGAAGAGGTTTGCACCCGCACGTAGTAGCACAGGCATATTCTCAAAAGAGTTTTATCTCATGATTGCCATATGAGGGGGGTTTTTGACTAGTAGGTTTTTGACTATGATAGACGATTCTCAGTAGGCTGCATATTGACACCGTTTCTTGGAAGGCATGATTCAGAATGAAAGCTTGATTTTGTTTTTTTCGCAAACTGATTAATGGGGATAGACTTGCCAATTTGTGCACATAGATGGAGACAAAGTCGAGATTTTGTAATGATAATGAGTTTTCAAAGAGACATCTGGGGAGTTCGCTTGAACGTACCAATCAGGATTTAGTTTGCCCATTATAAGAAGCTCTGTGTGAAGGGATAGAAATCTGCTTACTATACATGCGCGGCCATAGCGGCCCGGCAAGGAGAATTTGGCCGAGCCTATTTTCAGTCAAGTCGGAATTCATTGACACCTTCTGCTTTACCTTTCATTCTTCCCAGATCAAGGGAGAGAAAACAATCAAGTATGCGTAAATTATCTTAGATTTCACATAATCACCAGACACGATCCGCCAGTCAAAACAAGGTCCAAATCTTTCTATCGCACTTTGGTTTAAAAGTCTTGATGCCACCTTCAAGTCTTTTATCCAATATTATGCTTGGATCTGTGCCACCTAAATGGTAAAGAAATTTACTTTGTAGAAATATATTACCAAGTCTCAATCCATCAATTTATTTCATTGTTCTTTGGCAGTATGTTTTTGATAATTGCTGACAATGAAAAGCATAGAATCACTCAGAACAAAGTTGAAAAGCCATGTTGAGATGTCCGTTTGATTGAATATTTGAATATGAGAAAGGCCTTGCTCTCCTGGAAAAAAAACTTCGAAAGATTACCTAGATTGAATGCCGAACGCATTGCATTGCACTTCCCCCTATGGTAGGGCCAGAGCAGTCTCACAGCAGGTTGCTCCAGTGTTCGAGTGAGCTCGGATCAGAGAATAGCCAAACATTCATCGTAGACAAGAATCAGTGTCAATGGGGGGATCGCTGCTTGCAGCACCGCGTTGGAGAATGACACGAGACTATAAGTCCAAATTAGATGCATTCCATGCAGGCACGGGTGCCAATTCTGAGCAACTCCCATTCTTTCCAGAGGCCGAAGAAGATACAAACTTCTGCCAAGAAGACCCCCAATCATCAATTCGCCAAAAGAAATTGCGAGTTGCAACTGGTGTTGTGTGAAGATAGGTTTCGCAAGTGCATGGATAGTCGGCATTAATGCAACCAGGCTGACAGATGCCATATGAGGTGAGAAATCAGTCGAAGGGGCGTCATCGTCATCAGTCTGCCCAAGAGACAGGTAGCGAGGTAAGTTTCCCACTGTGATACCCGTCAAAGATGATGTATACCAAATCTGTAGCAATGGCTGGCCTGAGAATAAGAATGAAATTGTTGGAAGTGTGACAACCCAGAGAAGAAAAGACGACCAAGCTGGGGTGAATCCTGCTCATCCTTGGTACCCTCATATTCGAACACACGAATCACGTGGTGATAGATGAGATTCAAATACCAAAGGGCAGTCCCAATCCCAAATCCTGTCACGGACAAGGCGACAATGATTTCTCCCGGGGTGGAGGGGAAATGGAAAATGAAGAATTGCAGCGCATAGATTAAAAAGTATGAGAAGCCGAAGATCCCTATCGAGGCCCCCAGGGCACAGTCGCGGACATTCTGGCGATTGGAAAACATATTTTCGTGGAGAAAATGTTTTCAGTGTACTGTAATGAATGGACAAAGCGTGCGGGAGCTGGCAATTTTATATTCTAGTGAGGTGCTGACTCTAGCATTCCGCTTTTTCTCAGACAAGATTGAAAAATGGTGGCAGCCGTAAACTGCTGAACGGTGGTCACCGCAACATGTTACAAAAATCGAAGATCAACATTCTGATCATTCTGAAGGTTTTTCTGATCAGTTCTCACCTTACCGTCAACGCTAGAAAAGAGGTTTGCGAGATAAGTAGATAGGACCAATGGACCGAGACACAAACCCTTTGTATGTCACGTCATGGATACAATCGATGAGATTGCGCAACTTGAGCGCGAGTTGGGCCAGCAGCGTGTCGAGAATGCCTATTACCGCGACTGCTACGCACTTTTCAAGCTGTTGCAAGATCTCGCAGAAAACACATCTCATGATCTGCAACGTCTTTACAACTCCGACTCACCGAATGATCCGCGCAGTTCTGGCCACGAAATCCTATGGTCCCTGCAAAATACGATATTTAGTATGATTGAAAAAGCATGCGAGTCCGAAAAAAGATGGAATGTTCTCTGTCGCATCGACCAATCCTACTCAGCTCGGGTTACTTTGGACTCAATCAGGACCAGGTATGCCGATGCAGAGGCATCTTATGGGGTACACCCACCAACAAAGGATATCGGCCTCAAGCCTTGGCAATCTCGAAAATAATGAAAATTGTGCCAAGTGGTTGTGAAATGATTCTCGCGGTTTCTGAAATATATACTCAATCAAATCTCCTTCGAGGAACTACATGAAGTGTAAGACTCTTAAGGACACACACGGGCCAGACAAGATAGAAAAAGTCGACTCAGTTCGAAATATTGGAAGATACTTCATCTAGCGTACTTGAAATCAAACAATATCTATAATCTTCTGGTGTGCGTAGTACATTCAGGTAAGCTCTGCCACCCATGTCCATTCAACTAAAGCGCCGATTTTTCTCGAATCTTCCGCTTCAAACGTAAATGACCTAGTCATCTTCGCATGGGTGTGGCATCAAATACAGCAACAAAAGAGCTGTATCAACCAAATGATCGATGATCCGATAGATAGGAGAACTGCCAGCCATGCGGCCCCAAAAAGTCGTGAGCCAAGGATGGCCTTGACACCTATATCACTTAATTTAGCTTTTACTTCGGTGACAAATAGTCCGTACATCACAGTCACCCCAACCGTCGCGGTCGTGATAAAAAGCGCAGAGAGCTAGCATTGTCAGCCGCGTCTATTCGTCAGATTCATATGGAGTCCCACATACCGGGCTAAGGATGGACAAAAGTCTGTCCCCTCTGTCAAAGAAAGTCTTTTGAATGCCAAGGGCGGTTACTAGCGTATTTCCAACAAGGCTAGATATGTATAGGTAGATAATGGCGTGAGAGATCTGGCTATAACCCGATCTTGTCGACTCGCCTACCGGCCGGAGCACCTTTTCCATTTTTGCCACAGTAGAACTAAGCGTGGAAGACAGATTAAAAGCAAAATTCAAGCTAGGGTCCGAACAGGTGGACTCAGAGTTGTGTCCAGATGTGCAATAGCTCCAAAGACCCACTGAGTAGTGTTGTGGAATGTGTGATTTCAGCTTATCAGCGTCCGATTGGATGGTATGATGAGTCGCCGAAGTTGTTTTTGAAGATGCTTCATCTGCACTCTCCCGGGCAGTCGAGGGCACATTGTTGACCGCATTTGCTCCGTCATGAACAATAGCCGAGGAACCCACATCCTCAATCCCAATCGACCCGCGGGGCAACAGATGATCG